CAGTGGGTGTAAGTACATTTTGGTGGTCGTTGACTATGTGTCGTAATGGGTGGAGGCCATATCTCTTCCTATCAATGATGCCAAGGTTGTGGTTAAGTTTGTGAAAAAGCATATCTTTACAAGATTCAGCACTCCGAGATTGACGATAAGTAATGGGGGCACCCATTTCTATAACAAACTCTTGGACAATATCTTAGCACAATATGAGGTCAAATATAAAGTTGCAACCGCTTACCACCCTCAGACTAGTGGCAAGTGGAAGTTTCAAATAGAGAGATAAAGCAAATTCTGGAGATGACGGTTAGTGAAAGTAGGAAAGATTGGGCTACAAAGCTTGATGATGCTCTATGGGAATACCAGACCGCCTACAAAACTCCAATCGGAACCTCCCCTTACAAGATGGTTTATGGGAAAGCATGCCATTTACCAGTGGAACTTGAGCACAAGGCTTATTGGGCAATAAAGAACCTGAACTTTGATGCAGACTTAGCGGGTAGAAAGCGGTTGATGTACCTGAACGAGCTTGATGAGTTTCGCTTACATGCATATAAGAATGCCAAGTTATATAAAGAAAAGAAAGCGCTAGCATGATAAGCATATTCAGCATCGTGAGTTCGAACCGGGCCAATTGGTTCTCTTGTTCAATTTGAGGTTGAGACTCTTTCCGGGGAAGCTCAAATCGAGATGGTCGGGCCCGTTTGAGGTAGTAAGAGTCACTCCACATGGTGCAATTGAGTTGCGCGTCTTAGGTGGCGAGAGAACGTTCTTAGTGAACGGACAAAGAGTAAAGCACTATTATGGAGGTGACTTTGATCGTCATAAGTCGAAGGTGTTACTTGACAATGATTAGACGAGATTCTGTGTCGTTCCGCGACGTTAAATCAGGCGCTTGTTGGGAGAAAACCCATTTTATTTCTTTCTTTTATTTTTATTTTTATCTTATTATTTTTGTAGTTTTTGTTTTGTAGGATTATAAGAATTAGAAGCAAAGCCATTGGAAGAGTGCAAAAGCGAGTTAGATGGTGAGAACTAAGTGTGGGGTGCCCACACCAAGGACCATGCCTGGGGGAAGTCTGAGTACTCCGTGAGCCGCTATTGCTTCAGCCTTTGGCCTTTCAGGGAGTTTCTTGTCCACTCTTGTTATTGTTTTGCTTTATTTGTGCATTGGAGATACTGCACTCTTTTAAGTGTGGGGTGGAATAATTCTCTTAAAAAAAATATTAGTAGTAGAAAAATGTTAACTTCTTATTTTTGATTTAGTAGTTGTGTTGTATTTTAGTAGCTATGAAAAAAAAACGAACAAAAAAAAAAGTAGAAAAATTGGACTTTTCCCGACAATGGATCTCATTCGACAGGTTTCTTGAGGGATTTAATTTGAAAGAAAAGATAAAAAAAATTTCTTTTGTTAGGTAGTGTAATAATTCCCCCTTAGTTTTTCTTTGTGCCGCGGTTCTTTTTCAAGGGTTTTGTTTGAACCGGATGTAGTTAGTTTTATTTTTTTAGGATTAGGAGCCACTGTGAGATGAATTGAATTGAAACAATATCTCTTGACTTTGTTATGCCTTGAGAATAGTGAGTACTTTGGTTGTGACGCTTAGGCTCAGTTTTTGACTCTTGTATAAGTATCTTAAATCGTATGATTTGACATTTGCTTCACTACTTTGACTAGAGTGTCTTGATGAGTCCAATCCTGAGTAAGTTATGTGCCATGTGTGTGTGAGGTTTGTATGTATTTTGTACATTGCATTTGATGTCTAGAACTTGCCCCGTGTATTTGCAAAGCAAAATAGTAGTTTTGTTCAGTCTTGGAAGTGATATAGGCGTTTCTTTGTTGAGCCAGATATATATATTCTACCTGCCTAATTGTTATGTATCGTAGTTAACCCCTTTGTGCCTGTAATCCTGTTTCTTTGGCAACCACATTACAAGCCTTACCCATTTGTTTGAATTAACCATTTATTTGAACCTTTCACCTCTCATGAGCATTTGAATTGTTATGAACTTTGTAAAAGTTAAAGTGTGGGGTGATTGGTTTGACTTTTGAGTGGAACTAATGAAATAAGGAGAAAGATGCACTGTTTTGAAAAAGTAAGAGCTACTTGAATTGAAAAATAAATAAAAAAATAGTTGTATTTGCTATGAAAAATATTCTTTGATAGTGGTGATTCTTGATGTAATTGTGTTTAAAGAAGTATAAAGTTAATATACATTGTGAAGGTGGAGTTATGGCTTGACATAAGTATGAGGTTTGAATGTTAAAGTATATGTATTAAAGTGCTTAGGGAGATGTAGTCGCTCTTATATCCAAATGTATCTTACCCGACCCGCAGCCTACATTACAACCAATTAAAGTCTTACTTGATCCTAGACTGAATGAGCTCGATTAGTAGAGTAGTACACTACGGGCAAGCCTATGGTGCATCTTTTGTGGCATATGAATGTTATTTCTGAGAGTGAGTGAATTCTTTCTATATTGAGTTCCTATTGTTCTTAAATTTTATTGTGTGTGGAACTACTCTCTTTTGTTGTGTGAGGGCACTTGATTCATGAAGGAAAGGTAATGTCATTGACCTTTATGTTAGAGTAAGTGAGTGAGTTGTGAATAATGCATCGTACTTGTGAGTCAAATCTTGAGGTGAAGATGTTACACTTTTGTGCTTAGTCTATTTTAAAGATTCTTGGTGTGATGAGTTAGGAGAATTATTTAAAAAGGTCGTGTCTATATAAAGTGTAGTTTGATTGCTCGAGGACGAGCAACGTTTAAGTGTGGGGTAGTGATGTTTGGCTATAATTACATATTTTTAGCACATTACGTACCTTACATTTTAGGAGCTTTAATGCTAAACTATACTATATTTGGGCTTAATTGAGTTTATTTTATGTGTAGGTACGTCGAAGACAAAATTGGAAGCAAAGTAGAGATTTTGTGTATCTTATATACTACAAGAATGGTTCGTGATTATTTGATGACGGAAAATATTATGATGTATAATTTTACAATGTTTGAAGACCAACCAAAAGAAGACAAAAGAACAAATTGAAAAAGAAGGGAATTATTGATGAAGAAAGAAACAATTGCATAGGAATTGAAAAAAAAAGAAACAGAATCGAGAAGATGAAAGAAGCAAAAGTTAGGCAGAAAATGAGAATTGAAACATGCAAAGAAGTCAGCGACGCGAGGGAGTAAGCACGCTATAGAACATGCAATGCGAGGATAAAAGCTCGCGTTAGAGCTAGCTTCGCGAGGGATTTTGTTTGTGTTTGAGTATGCGCCGCATAGTCTAACGCGAGATAAAGCTTGCGTTTTGCCTCGCGACACGAGGCCTGTAGCGAGGGTGTTCCGGGTTTTTAAGTCCTATTTTGTCTCCTATTTGGTTTTGGACTTGGTTATTTCGTTTGGGTCTTTTCCCTATACATATAAATAGTCATTAAACACCATTTTTAGAAGAGTTTTGCGACTGGAGGCAAGAACATCACGTGGAACCACTCTTGGAGGAGAAAATCATAGAGTCCTTCATCCCTTTATCTTTTCTTTGTAATTTGTTTATGCAAAATACTTGAAAAATTATTACTACGAACATGAGTGGCTAAGCACTCTAAGTTCTAGGGTTGTGGTTGACATGATTATTAACGTTTATTAATTACATCTTTGTTAATTCAGATTATCATCTTGTAGTTATTTCTTTAATTCTAGTTTTCACTTGTGAATTGTTGTAGCTACCAAATCACCCTACTATCTATGCTATGCTTGGGAAAGCCGTGTTTAGATTAGAGTAGAATTAGAGAAAGCTTGTTTCTGAACCCGTGGCTCGGGGAACGATTTCACGGTTAGGATAGGAATATACCTAACAGTCTTGCTTAATTAAATACCGTATTATATTCATTCATGATAGACTCAATACCATAGGAATATAGGATTAATATATTGTGGGCATGCGAGTAGTATTGTGGGAACATGCTATTCATATAAACAATCTGGTTAATTAGCAACCATAGATAATCTGAATTAACGAGTGTAATTATTGAACTTAATAGGATTGATAAACCAACCACAACCCTGGAATTTTCATCTCCTCTGAAGTAAATTCTCATCATACGCATTTGCATTCTTGATAAATTAGTTGTTACTTGTTTAATTTTCACAATAGTAGATTAACAGAAAAACGTCACTCTTATATAGCTTGGATAATTAATTGATTTTAGTTTGCTTAGTTAACGATCAATCTAAGTCTCTGTGGGTTCGACATCCGACTTTCGAGTCACTTTATTACTTGACGACCATGTATACTTGAGTGTACTTGGGGAACCAACACGAGGAAAGAATAAACAACATATTTGCTATTAAACAGTCTCCGTGAGAGGGATTGAGGGACTTCCTCACCCGGTTAAACCGAGTAAGAATGACCATGTTGAATGTATCGGAAAGGATGGCAGTCGCAACTTTACAGAACGGGCTGAGCATAAATGGTTCAAGGGCAACAAGAAAGTTATCAAGTCGGCTTATGAAGTACCCCCCCCCCCCCCCCCCCCAACTACTTGGGATGAAATACACAACTGGTATTGTGCTGAGGTCCGAGCAGACGAGGACGACCTCAACGGGCCGACTCATTGGCTGACCTCGATACAAGCCGAATCTAGAATAGATCGAAGAATCGATGTCAGAAATGACCTCGTAGCTCAGCGACCCAATGTGGAATAGCATATACCATATGTCGGAACTCCCATTGCTCCACCTCCCGCCATGAATAGGTCCTACCCCGATCAAGAACAGGGACTCACCGAAACGAAAGAGGTATGCCCCCTTTATTATTCGCTCATAATTTTTATGTGTCTCCTACAGAAATAGTCTAGCTTTGGAGAAGCTCAGACCAAAGGTGAAGTGGTCGCAAAAGATGAGGTCGGACCCGGGTACCAGAAAGTCGGACAACTTATGCGAGTTCCACCAAGAGTGAGGGCACAAAACCGAGGATTACATCGCCTTAAGACAGGAGGTCGTAAACATGCTACGACAGGGACACCTCAAAAAGTTGATGAGCGACCGGGGAAGGATCAACTTTGCCAGAGGTCGTGAACAACATCAAGGACCGCTGAAACTGCCCTCGCCGACCTGCACCATCCATCTGGTCATCGGTGGCAGTGACAATGCTTCAATCAACAGTGTGAAGTTCACCATAACCCACAAGCTCAAACGGTCGATCATCCACGAACGATATGATGAACTCGAAGAAAGTATCATCTTCGATAAGTCAAATACCAACGATTTGGTTATCCCTTACTATGATGCCCTTGTTATCACTTTACGAATTTTAAATACCGATGTGAGACGCATTATGGTAGATGATGGGAGCAGTGCATGCATTATCCACCCTCGAGTACTTGCAAAAATTAAACTCGAGGATAAGATAGTGCCGCACTGCATCACTCTAATAGGTTTTAACAATGCAGTGGAGCAAACATCCGGTGAGATCATACTCCCCATCCCCGTTCAATTCCATATCATGGACCAGGACACAACATATAACGCCATAATAGGGCGACCATGGATACACACCATGAGGACCATCCCCTCCAGCTTGTACCAAGTCATTAAATTCCCAACTCCATGGGGGATATTCAGTATACGAGGAGAACAACACATATACCGGGAATGCTACCGCATCGCTCTAGACTGCACGGTCACTCAATAGACGAAGGATAGAGAAAAAGAGACATAGAAATCAACAGGGTCGATGCGCGATGATAGCGAAAACATCATCAGAGACCCCGATACGGTCGAAGCTACAAGATCGACAATAGAAGACCTCGACCCCATTCAATTAGACAGCAACGATCACATCAAGAAAGCTTACATCGGCTGCAAGCTTCAGGAACCAGGTAAATTTCGTCAATTCTTAACTGCTAACGTGGACTTATTTGCTTTTAGCCATGCAGATATGCCAGGTCATCCAAAGAAAATCACCACGCACAAGCTGAACGTCGATCCATTCCACCCCCTAGTGATGCTGGTTAGGCGTAAGTTCAACTCCGCAATTAATGATGCGGTACGCAAAGCGGTGGAAAAACTATTAGAAAACGGATCCATCATGGAGACGAAATACCCCCAATGGGTCGCCCACGTGGTCATGGTGAAAAAGAAAAATGGAAAATGGAGGATGTGCATAGACTTTACAGATTTGAACAAAGCATGCCCCAAAGATTCATTTTCGTTATCCCATATCGACCAGCTCATCGATGAAACTGTCGGGCATGAACTACTGAGCTTCTTGGACGCCTACTCGGGCTATAATCAAATCCTCATAGAAGAAGAGGATCAGGAGAAGACCACTTTCATCACCCACCGGGGGACGTACTGCTATAGGGTCATGCCCTTCGGGTTGAAAAACACAGGGCAACTTAGTAAAGATTAGTGATGAGGATGTTCAAAGACCAACTCGGCAAAACGATGGAAGTCTATATAGATGACATGCTGGTCAAGTCCAAAAGGAAAAAGGACCACATCGACCGTTTAAGAGAAACCTTCGACATACTCAGACGGTACAGAATGAAACTGAATTCCGAAAAATGTGCATTCGGTGTGGCCTTAGGAAAATGTCTAGGTTTTCCGGTGTCGCAGCGAGGGATCGAGGTCAACCCTGACCAAATCACAGCCATTGAAGAAATATCTGAACACCTAACCACCCAAAAAAAGGTTCAGAGGTTAACTGGCCGTATCGCCGCCCTTTCAAGATTCATCTCGCAATCATCGGATAGGTGTCACATATTCTTCGGCGTACTCAAGAAGGATAACGACCTCCAACGGAATTCTGAGTGCGTCCATGCCCTGAAGGAACTAAAAACATATTTGTCATCTCCACCATTACTTTCGAAACCAGAGTCGGGGGAATGTCTCCTTATCTACCTCGTCATATCCGAAGTAGCTGTGAGCGCAGTCCTGGCCCGAGAAAATAAAGGTACGCAGTTTCCCATCTATTACATTAGAAAAACACTAGTCGATGCCGAGACGAGATAGCCTCACCTCAAAAAACTAGCTCTGGCCTTAGTCGTAGCTTCACGAAAGCTTAGACCATATTTCCAATGCAACCCCATCTCGGTCGTCTCGACTTTCCCCCTAAGAAGCATTTTACATAAACCCGAGCTATCAGGTAGTTTGGCCAAATGGGCCATCGAACTGAGCGAGTACGATATCACATATCATCCACGAACAATGATAAAGTTAGTCCTTGCAGACTTCGTCGCCATCTTCAGCGCAAAAATAATGCCCAAAGTCGAAAAAGAGGCCGTCCACGCTTCTCCCCAAACACAAGACCTCTGGGTCCTGTACAGTGACGGCGCATCCAACGCGTCAGGTTTCGAACTTGGACTCGTACTCGAAGTCCCAATCGACGAAGTGATTCGCTAGTCCATAAGGTGCCCGGACATGACTAACAATGAGGCCGAGTATGAGGACGTAATTGTAGGGTTGAGACTAGCACTCAAATACGGGGTGAAACAGTTAAGACTATGTTGTATTCTCAACTCGTTGTCAACCAAGTCACAGGAACTTTCCAAATCAAGGAACAAAGGTTGCAGACCGAAATTTGCAAGTTGTTGCCCGAGTTCGACGAATGCCAACTCGACCAAATCCCCCGAACACAGAATACCGAGGTAGACGGCCTCGCCAAATTAGCCGCAACTACCAAAAACATTGCCACCGGAGATAGAAGTGTAGTCCACCTTCTTAACTCATGACCTAATCGAGGTAAGAACCATAAACCTGACTTGGGACTGGAGCAACCGTGTTGTCAAATATTTTTGTAGGACGGCGTGCTCCCAGGTGATATAAAAGAAGCCAAGAAACTGAGAACGTAAGCAGTCGGGTATAACATCATCCATAATGACCTGTATAAGAGAACGTACGACGGCCCTCTGGCGAAATGCTTGGGCCCAAATCAGACGTGGCGTTCTTGAAGAGGTCCACGAAGGCCATTGCGGAGCTCATTCCGGCAATCGTGCTCTGGTTAGATGCCTCATACGGGCAGGTTATTACTGGCCCACCCTGAAAAAAGAGGCCGCGAACTTCGTGATAAAATACGAGCAATGCCAAAAGTGCGCCCCAATGATTTACCAAGCAGGCAAACACCTCAACTCAATCACTTCCCCTTGGCCGTTCATCAAATGGGGAATGGACATCGTAGGCCCCCTCTTGGCAAGACGAGATAACGTACGATTCCTTTTGGTTTTGACTGACTATTTCTCTAAATGGGTAGAAGCAGGAGCATTCACCCAAATACGTGAAGAGGAAGTGATCGCCTTCATATGGAAAAACATTGTATGCCAATTCGGCCTCCCCAAAGAGGTCAGTTGTGACAACAGACCCTAATTTATAGGAAAGAAATCACTGAATATTTTGGAAAATGGCATATCAAAAGAATACTCTCAATGCCATATCATCCCGCGGGCAATGGACAAGCAGAGTCCTCCAACAAGTCGACACTGAACATCACGTAGAAAAAACTTGAAAATGCCAAAGGGTTATGGCCGGAAATATTACCAGAAGTACTCTGGGTCTACCGAAAAACACCGAAGACAAGCATAGGAGAGACGCCTTACTCATTAGTTTATGGGAGTGATGCGGTAATACCGGTTGAAGTCGGGGAGCCCAGCCTAAGATACTCCCATGAGAGCAGTCCAGGGAACGATGAAAGCAGAAGGCAGGAGCACGACGAAGTCGAAGAACGAAGATATATTGCATGCGTAAGGATGATCTCCCAAAAACAACAAGTAGAACGCTATTATAACAAAAAGTCAAAGGCCAGGCCACTAAAAGTCGGGGACTAAGAGCTTAAAGCTAAAACACAAGCAATCAAAGATCCACGGGAAGGTAAACTGAGAACAAATTAGGACGACCCATACAAAATCACAGCAACATCGAACAAAGGGTAATTCCAACTAAAAACAATGGAAGGAAAGCTACTACCAAATAACTAGAATATTACCCACCTCAAGTACTTCAACTTTTAAGAGATAAAGCGTCCCCCAAGTCGTACTCTTTTTCCCCTCACTTGAGTTTTGTCCCAGTTGGGTTTTCTCAAGGAGGTTTTTAACGAGGCGACGAAGGGGACACTTCATTTCGAAGTACGTACAAACAGAGGCACAGGACGACTAGTTTATTGCCCGACCTCTCAAGACTTCTCCAGGCCGACCATTGAAGGGACTAGATAAACTGGGACTAGGACTGGAACGTCATCCAATGCCCGAAAAAATATGTAAATTTCTCCATGTGTATGAATAAATCACAAACGCATGAAGTTTATTTCTATTTCTCCGGATATACAACCAAGGCAACATCGCCTTAAAAGTTCACAACGTCGACAAATTCTGCACCTAGAGACATATATAACTAAACATAGGTTATATTCGACCTCATTCGAATTAACACCTAAACTGGCCCCCAGCCATAACAACATAGGTTATATTCAACCTCATTTGAATTTACACCTAAACTGGCCCCCGGCCATAACAACATAGGTTATATTCGACCTCGTTCGAATTAACACCTAAACTAGCCCTCAACCATAACCAAACAGAGGTTATATTCAAGCTCGTTCGAATTAAAACCTAAATTGGCCCCCGGCCATAACAACATAGGTTATATTCGATCTCGTTCGAATAAACACTTACACTGGCCCTCGGCTATAACATCATAGGCTATATTCGACCCCGTTCGAATTAACACCTAACTGGCCCTCGGCTGTAATTAAACATAGGATGTGTTCAACCTCATTCGAACTAAACGATTACGGCCAAGAAAATTAAAAAGCATACAAGTGCGAACCAAAGAAAAAGAATCAGGTACAAGTAACAAAGTCGACATCTCATATTAGATATTTTTACAAAGGCTTGTAAAGACGCCTACAAAAAACGCACAAGTTTGTGGCAAAATAAATGAAAGAAAAAGAAAAACTATTGGTCGCCATCAGGACCATCAGTGCCACCGCCTTGACCATCTTCCCCCTCACCATCACAACCGCCCTTAGGGTACGCGTCCCCATACCAGGCGTCCTCTTCAATCTGATCCACATCCGCGTCCCTCTGATAGTCACTAGCCTCCGGTGTAGCAGGATCATATCCACAAGTATTTGAGCCTTAATGACGAGCTAAAAATACAACACAAAATTATGCTCGCTAGTCAAATATAGTATAGAAAATTATCGTATCCACGTGGATTGGATTTAAACAGTGTTTTCGTAGCTTGTAGTCTTATTGCTATTCAAGATGATCAACAATTTGGATTTGTCTTAATTAAAACTAAAATTAACTAAAAGTCTAAACTATTGGCTAATGACAATCGCAACAAAAGTAAGCAAAGAAGATATCAATGGGAGAAAATAGGGGTAGATTGGATAGGTGCAAGATACTTGTTTGGGAATTAACTCTAGTTACTTCACTCTATGGTTCAAGTGAGTCTCTCGAATTCACTCTATTATTAGTTCGAACGTTCAGTAGAAACTCCTCTCTCGATTAAGTCTCGACCTCACAATATAAACTAAGTTAAGCTCAGTGAAGATATGCAAGAATTCGTAGTGGGTTAATCTTTAGGAGAACCTCTTTCGATTATCCTCCTAACTAGGTCTAAACAATAATTCAACTAGCCTCTTTCGATTACTAAGAAGAATCAACGAATTCAACCAACAAGATAATGCAAAACATCACAAATTATGCCTCTTTAGATTACATAAACATGTGAATATATATGTAACAATAAAACATCCAAAATGATTCAATACATAAAACTAGAGTTAATATCCACAAACAATTCTCAAAACACCAAATCCATCAATCCCTAAGGAAGAATTACTCCATGGATATGGAGAAATTTATCAAAATTAAGTTTAAGTCAAAGGAAAACATAAAACATCCAAACCCTTGTCTTGAGTGAGGATGAATGGTGAAGTCCTTGTGCTCTTACTTCTCCCTCTTCTCCTTAGCTTCAATAGGTCTAAATTATGTCAAAAGTCCTCAAAATACCGT